ATCTGATTTATCTTCATAATAAAAGATCCTGGTTTTCCTTTAAAAAAAACCCAAACCAATTCTTTAAAGGAGAATACTATTACTTTTATTAGTATGGAAGTTGAGCACCAGTATCTAGAAATGTACAGCCTTAAAATATAGCTTTTTTCTAGTGGTTAATTTTCAGTATTTCTCAAGAACAAAAAGGTCTTAAAGGTTGAAATCAAATTCTAAAAATGGATCAGCATTGAAATGTCAACTATCTAGTTGTAGCAGCATACCAGCATTCAAAACCATGGTCTAATATTGATTTCCCTGGTTGCATAACATTTGCATTGTGACATTTGGCTTCAACATTAACAAAGTAGTTGTTTCTTGATCAATCGTTTTTTGGTATTACATGCCAAACAATCACTCAGTGTGACCTATTTCAAATTGCATATTAACTGTTGAGCAAAAGTACTATATGTTTTTTTTTTAATTTTAAGCCTGGAGCATGAATTGTGAAGATATAATTTGTAAACATACATAGAAAACTGTATATTTTTATCAAGCATTACATGCAGGCAAATTAATTTCAACAGTGCAACCTCATATATAAGTTAGGCATGTGTCTATGCACATGTGCTCTCTCTCACACACTCACACAGAGACATAGACTTGATTAGCACATTCCCATTGCAAAGTCTGCATTTCTTTCTAGGTTTTCTGTATAATTAAATTTATCTGGTTTTTTTTTCTTTTTTCCTTAATGCTTTCTGATATGGGAGATACTACCATCCTTCCAAGAAATTCAGAGGGACTTGCATTTTTTTCCATCCCTAACATCTTATTGTAATAGCAAATTATGTATGTATGTATGTATGTATGTATGTATGTATATGTATATATGTATATATGTATATGTATGTATATGTATACACACACACTGAAAAATATATGCATGTGAGAAAGAAAATGTATCACATATTGTTGACTTAAAGAAACTACATGATAAAGTGAACTATGGAATTTTTTTTGCAAGAGCTGAAAGCTGAAAAGTGGTATATGCTGAAGTAACCCTTGTATAAGAGAGTAGAATGTTTAGCGCATGCTTGGATATGAGTTGGCTCCAGTTTAGAGTCTTGCAATTGTGATTTACCTCAACTCCGATTGCCCCAAGCCACTTGTGCCAGCTAAGGTGCTGAACATTAAAAACCAGCATGATTTGTAGGTGGGTGTGAGTTTGGCAAAGGCTTTTTTGCTCCAGTTTGAATAAAGCAGAAGTATGTGACACAGAATATCTAAAAGGATCTGTGGGTAAAATTCTGAGACCATTCTGTGTTTATGAGGCAGGAAATAAAAATGACCTGAACAACAACAACAATGACAAAAAAAATCTGGAAGAACAACTAGAAGAGGAAGTGCTTTAAATCCCCTTCCGCCACCCCAATCCTGTACTTTATAATTTGTAGTGGTGGGAGAAATCCACCAATTTTGTAGCATTGTGTATTTTTTATCTTCTGAGTGAAGAAAGATTTGAAATAACTGAATGCAAATAATTCAACTGCATTTTTATGTATTATTTTTCTTTGCATTTAACAAAAAAAGAAATCACACTGAAACATGACAGCTCATTATCATAATTGCTGCTTAACAGGATTTGGTGCTGATGCAGTAGTCTCTCTTGTGATTTTCTGAATCTCTGACTTTTTAACAGACATGGTGTATATCTTGACATGAGCAGTGTGAAATGCAGAAATATTGTTCCAGGACCCTGCGTTTTTATTCTTGTTTGGAGCAAAATACATAATAAAATATGGGGTTGTCAGTTATCAAAGAAAGTGGTTAATAGTCAAGCTTGTCCTTTGTTTGTCTTGTTATTAATCAGACAATCCCGATCAGCATTGGAAAGCACAACATACTTGTATTGAAATCAATCAACCAGATGCATCTCTTTTATCCATCTTTACTGATGTGACTGGTAAGGATTTGTACTAATATGTAGTCCAAATCCAATTTATTAAGTATCAGTCTGGTCCATCATACATTACTGAGTACTAACAATTCATATTGTTGTTTGCATCAATGGTAAACAAAGATGCTTATACGGGATGTAACAGACAAATTATTTCAGTCCCAGGCCAACTTTCATGAGGGAGTTATAGTAACAATGACAGAAAAGCAATACTGTCTGTTGTTTCTTGAGGACAAGATCAGCAGGAAAGAGAGTGAAGATAAAAGGCATAGTGAAAAGCTGATGCTCTGTATCAGGTTGATGAGTTAGGAATTAAGTTCTCTGTCTCATGGATAACGCTGTACACATCTGGTGTGTGTCTGTGTGTGTGTGTGTTCATTATTGCTCCTCAGTGACCTTTTGTATTTGTTCATTTTTAGCTAACAGCACGATCCCTGCCTATGGTACAAACTGATGAGAGACTTCAACCCCTGCTCAATCACCTCAGGTAATGAAAACACAGTAGAACCTCAATTTAGTGGACCTTTCGGGGCCCATTACTTCTGAAGTCCCACAGTCTAACTCATTTGTACAAATCAATTCTGGTTTGAGTAGTTGAGGGAATTTTATTTTTATTCTTTCGGATTAAAAAAATGTGAAGACATTTTCGTAGGATCTGGGTGTTGCGCCTAATGGATCAATCGGCCATGTGTTCTGGCCCAAAGGCAGAATGGGATTGTTTTACTTCTTTCCATAACTGGGCCCATCTGCTCTGCCCGCAGAATAATCTAATGTATAGTGTATAATGTATTTACTGTATACATACATGATATTCTTCCGACTAAAATCGGAATTCTGATTTTTCATCGCCCCCCCCTTTCCCCCCTTCTTCTCCTCCTTCCCCTCCCCTCGGAGGCCCCCTGAGTCAGGAGCAGGGAAGCGGCTGCCCAGCTCCAGAGTTGATCCACACCACCGGCTGGAAAGGAAGGGTGTATATGTGTTGTTGTGTGTGCGATTTCTTGGTGCGTGGCGCGGGTCTCTTGGCCGGCCCCGAAAGAGCGCACGCGGGGTGGGTGGTGGAGACGTGGGACCGAATGCGGGAAGGAAGCGAACCTCATTGCAAAGTTTTGCCTCTTTCCCTTTCTTTTTCTTCTAATGGAGTGTGTCTCCCCCCCACACCCCGGAGATAAGTGTGACTTTGTTGTGAATGGTCAGAGCTATTCAGCTAAGGTACAAGGATGACTGTATGTTGCCACCGGGGAAGCGGAGGTGTGGAAAGAGCCAGACGGCTGCGGCTCCCTCCGGAGAGTGAAAGCAATGTTCATTTACCGGAAAATTCCCCTGCGGGAAAAAGGGAATGGAGGGGAAAAAAAAGAGCTTGGAGCGGCGACTGGAACCGGAGCTCCCTTGATTAACAATTCTGAATTTTTTCCCCTTTCTTTTTTTACTCCCTTCCCGCCGTTGATAATTAGGATCTGGTGCCTCCAGGGTCCTGTCGGCAGTGTGGGGGGGGGGAATGATTAGATTTGGGGAGGAGGGCAAGGTCGGAAGGAAAAGGCACCCCTGGCTACTTTTCAGGTTTTTTTTTTTTCAGAGGGGAATATCATGCCTGTGTTTAGTGCAATATTAATGCAATATCAGGGGTTTTCAATTCAATGTATAGAATGTGTAGAAGAGAAACTTTCTGACAGTGAGAACAATCAACTAATGGAACAGCTTCCTGTTAGAAGTTGTGGGAGCACCATCACTTGAGACCTTCAAGAAGAGATTGGACTGCGATCTGTCGGAAATGGTGTAGGGTCTCCCGCTTGGGTGGGGTGTTGGAGTAGATTACCTATAAGGTCCTTTCCAACTCTGATTATCTGTTATCTGTTATCTAAATGTGAAGAATGTGTGTTTGTGTTTATTTTCATAGTCACAATGTACACTGAAGATGGTATTTAATTTCATTGTACGAGGTGCAATGATAATAAAGTAAACTAAACTAATCCTGGGGACAGGGTGCGTGAGGAGCTCATATACAGAAGAGAACTCTGCTATTCTTTAGACTCTGCAAACCATGGAATTTACAGGGGAAGGCAATAAAAAGTGTTTTAAATAAAAAAAGAATAAATCAGATATTAATAAGCTTTTTATTTACAAATGGTTAACTTGGCAATGGATTCATTGCAACTTTATCTTCAAAGATACTATTTCAATACTTGCTTCCACAAAGAGGAAGTAACTTGAGTGTTTTTACATAATGAACGTGCCATGGCAGATAATTAGCAATATTGTTGACATGCAACATCTGTTTCCAGTCAACACTTCAGATTTCTCCCTTAGGTAATCATTGGCTCACATTTACAAAATTATATTTTGCCCTTGAAAAGGGGACTTTATGTTCCCCTTTACTCAAAACCTTTTGAAAAACATAATAATGGAACTATAGCTGCATATTATTTATCTTTGTGTTTTAATTCTTCACACTGCTAAGTAATGTAATCAGCTTAAAAATTCAAGAAAAGATTATTATTCTATGGCTTCCTTAATTAGAAACATCTGAGAGATTATACCTGAATTTTACAAAAAAATTATTCAACAATTGTTTTCATATGATTCATTAGAGTTCAAATAATCTGCTTCTATTTAAACTCTAATGTTCTTCTAAAGTGTAGTAAAAATATTTCTAAATAATTTATTCTGCTAATCAGAAATGTTTTATGTAGAGAAGAAGTCTTAATTTCTCCAAGGTGAAAGAATTATTTTAAAGACATATTTATTTCTTGAACATTAGTTTTGAAATATTATTTTTAAAATTTATGTAAACAAAAATACTTGGCCTTTCATTCCCATGGTAATAACAAAAATACCCTTTTAAATTCAACAAATAACATTTATTTCTTTTCTTCTTTTTCCACATCATAGCCATGCATATGTTGGCCCAGATTATAATATTGAAAAAGCAATGGGCAAAATTTCATTGGAACAAATTGATGCTGTGAGTATATTGCCTCCAATTCACTATAGTTAAACTAAATAATGAAACAAGAAGAGAATATGAGTAACACTCAGGAACATAAGTAAACAAACCTTTCACCTGAGCCCATGCTGATTTGTGAGGGGTTCAGGTATTGAACCCTAACCCCTGGCAACAGCTAATAAGAGGAAACCAGAATATCATCACTGGAGCACCTTTCCTCAGCTGCTGCTGTATAGTAGTAAGACAGCAAAGTTATCCTTTTACCTCTTCAATCACCCAAGCATCCCTTCCTCTCCCTTGTTCAATTTCCTGCAGTAGTCAGAGGACCATGCCCTACTTGGCTGCCTGAAAAATTTATCTCTTGGACGTATCTGGTTTCAAAATCCTACTTCATATTTCTTATCAGCCAATATTTGTTATTTGCTTGTTGTTTTGCTGGAAGGAGGGAGAAGTGTGTGTGTATGTTTTGCAGTATGCATTTCTGTGGGATGAAATGGCTAGCATTTGCATGTGATAGGGTGTTATTTTACAAGAAATCAATTTTAATTAGCAATTGCTAGTTTAGTTAAGAAAAATGTATATTTTTGTGTTGGCCCTGCCCTCTTTTGGAATGGATATATATACACCAGACGTGGTTTTCAGCAGGTTCTGACCAGTTCTGAAAACTGGTAGCGGAAATTTTGAGTAGATCGGAGAACCAGAAAATACCACCTCTGACTGGAGATTTTAAGTATCCTCCCTCCTGCCACGCTCACCAAGCCATGCCCACAGAACCGGTAGTTAAAAAAAATTGAATCCCACCACTGATGTACACATATAAGTATGTTGCATGCACATATACGTGGAGGCCAGGAGTTGGTTTGGCTGACATTGGTGATATCAAAGTTGACAAAGTAGGAAAGCCGGACATAGAAATGCACAGAAATGTTTATCTGTGTTGATATTTTTTCCCTATGAGTGCTTCCTAGTGTTGGTGGTAGGCAATCAAATTTAACCTTGTCTTCCTTTTAAGTAAATGTGGTAAACAGTTTTAAATGAATCGAAAAAGAACTCCAGATAACTGACATCTGTAACATTAATTTAAATATATTAGAGAGAGGGATAGTAAAGATGCTATCAAAATAGAATGAGACTCTAGATTAATTACTTATACTGACTTATGCTTTTTACTGTAATTAATATAATTTTAATATCTTTTAACATCTGTTTTCCATTTATTCTTGAATTTGCACAAAAAGAAAACCTAGAAATAAATGCTGACAGTATACTGAAATTGTGAAATAGAGTTTTCCCTTCATCCCTGTAGTCTACTGTATGCAAATATTCTCTTCTCAAACTCTTCACCTTTCTGGTTGGTGATCAAAATACAGCCTGTAAGTTAATGTAGTCAGCAGATCATTAATCCAAGTTTTCTTGTTACAGCTTTCGGTTAAATCATTTCCTCTCTGCATGCGCCAGCTTCACAAAGCTCTGCGTGATAACCATCATCTTCGTCATGGAGGCCGTATGCAATATGGCTTATTTCTCAAGGGCATTGGTTTAACACTAGAGCAAGCTCTGCAGTTCTGGAAATCTGAATTCATCAGAGGAAAAGTAGACGCAGACAAGGTAAATTGGTTGGCGAGAACAATGCTCACTTCTTAACAGTTCTCTTCGGAACACTTCTAGAGTCCACAAGCAATGTCCGTGCACACTAAAACATCTGTTCAGTTTACATAAACACTAAAGACAAAAGCTGCAGTTACTTTCACATCCTCTCTGCACAGTTGGATATCATCAAGATTCTTTTCTCATTATAAGTTTGTATGGTTAGTTTACTTTATGTTTACGAAGATTACAAAAAGAAAATAGGAATTATTTATCATGTTGAAAAACAATGATGTAGTGACATCAATATTTATCTTATTTACTAATGCTTCTCTACTGCTTGATACCCAGAGATTCTTAAGTGGCTTACAGAATGCTATAGTAAGTAAGAAAATAAAAAAATCTGAAACATGGACTTCCCACAAACCATAACAGTGCATAGTGCTGGGCCAAATGTTCATATCCTCAAACGGCTTCTTAAACAGCTGAGTCTTTTGAATATAGAATAACAGAGTTGGAAGGGACCTTAGTCCAACCCTGTGCACAAGTAGGAGGTCCTATACCATTCTGGACAAATGGCTATCCAATCTCTTCTTAAATACCTGCAGTGCTGGAACATCCACAACTTCTGGAGGCAAGCGGTTTCACTGGTTAATTGTTCTGTCAGAAAATTTCTCCTTAGTTCTAGGTTGGTTCTCTCCTTATTAGTTTCCATCCATCGCTGCTTATCCTGCCTTCTGGTGCTTTGGAAAATAGGTTGACTCCCTCTTTGTGGCAGGTCCCTTCAGGTCCCTTCAAAAGCCAAATAAGGTGGAGGACACTTGGATATCAAGGAGTCATCTGTTTCAAAGACAATCATTGCCAAGAAGGTTCTTTTGCTGGGTTCTGTGTAGGCGATAGTCCCCCAGAGAAATAATCTTTAGCAATTTTCTCTTCCTGACCTCAACAGGAAGATAAACCATGAGAACGTGGCCTTGTAGATAGCAAGCCTGACCTTCCTTCTTTCCCTCCCTCCCTCCTTCCTTCCTCCATCCATCCATCCATCCATCCATCCATCCATCCATCCATCCATCCCTCTTATTTACAGAGTTTATAGGCCACACAAATGATTTGATTCTTACATACAAATTCCCCAAGTCTGTAATTTGGGTTCAAATAAATACATCTTGAAGTAAAACTGAGATTTCATTATAAAACAACCATATCTGGATTCAAACATTCTGGTAACACAAATAGAAATAATTATTTTTGCTAAAAATTTGAAATGCTACAACAAAGGAAGAACATTTTATCATATCTGATGATTATTCAAAACAGTTTTTAAGAAATCTTAGATGGACAGGGTGGATGGAGAATCTGTCTTGGTAAAGTTGTCCTCTGTGCTGGCAGACAAATATAGTTGGATTTTATTGTTATCACCAGGCACTGTCTTCGATTCTCTAACTTTACAGGAGATAATAATTGTTTGCCAATTCTGGAGAATACAGTGTGTTTGAAGCGTAGCAATTTCAGGCTTCTCTAGTAATCTACAATTTCAAGTTGTTCAGTGGTTAAAAGTTTTGAAATTTAAAAAAAATTAAGTCCTTGAGGTAACATTTGACAAGTACCCTCAAATAATCTCCAGGTTTAGAAGTTCTAACTAGTATAAAATGCCGAAAGGAACATCTAACAATGAATAGTTAACCTTTTTCAAAAGCAAAGCCCTAGCTGCTGGTTTACTATCCAAATAAGTTCACTTGTAATGACATACAGAACTCTTTTTAACTTAAGTCATGGCTGTCTAGCAAATTACTTGCTCCCTGATGTTTCTGATTGTCATTTAAAATCTAGTAGAAATGTCTTCCTTAGGGTGCCACATCTGCCAGGAATTTCATACATGGTAAACCAAGAGAGAACATTCTCAATTGAAGTATACTTTTAGTTCCTTGGTTGGCATGAAGCATTGCAAGCTTTCAGCTCCAGATTAAATTACATGTTCCTGAAGTTATACGCCACCTCTCTACTGGAATAATACAAATGTAGGATTTTTTTAAAAATACAAAACATAAAATATACCTATAAAGCCAGTATCCATAAAATAATGAACAATTAATAAATAATAATTGTTAGCACCTACTTCAGGTATTATTACCATTATTCTGAAATAAGTATTTCACACAAGGCATATTGTCTTCCAGATAAATTCTTCAAAAAAGAGTACCTGAGGGCTTTAAGGTTCACATATTGTAATTTGTGAATCATATTATCTTCCCTCTATTCAAAAGGATTCTTTATCCGATGTTTTTTTCAGTGCCGTTATAATTTCAGACAGTCACTAAACAAATGGTTGTAAGTCGAGGATTACCTGTATTGATTCCAACTATACATTTGGAGAATGTTATGACTGATCAAGTAAGCAAAATAAAATGTTTTTTACATAAGGGATTTCAAATGATTCCAGGCTTGGTTCAGCCAGCAGTGAGGCTTTTCATTATCCTGCAGTCAGGATTCTGGAGATATGGATAATATAGGAAAATTCTGTTTTTACCAGATCATAGAATGGGGGATGCCACACATCTCTCCCCCTCCCCTAAACAGATTCCTTAAATGGGATTACTCTCTGTCTAGTTTCTGCAAATTTATCTTCAAACTTCTGCTTACAGTAATGCAGTAATTAACAGGAAGGGCTGTCATGTGCTCTTGAAAGAACTACATTTCATCTGTTAACTACGAGCCAAACCGCTAGTTGAAAAACGTTTTGAATATTCTTGTAGTCCTCTTGCCAGAGATTAATTCATACTATTTTTTTCCATATTAGTGCTGTTAATCTGTGATTGATATATTTTTAAAAGGTTACTTTTGAGGATCTTTGGTAAATTTTAACGAGTGCTTAGGTCTTTAGGACAATGCATATAAAACCCTGCAAAATTTCTGTATACACATACACAATAAATATGCCAACGGTATGCATAAATGTATGTACATGTGGTCTTGAAGAAAGCTGACACTGTGGACCTTAAAAGACTTATGGTTTAGCTAAAGAATAAAATACATTAGCAAGAATGCCTTGGGGGGGCGTGCCTTTCAGCTAGTCTTGACTCCTGAAGACTGCACTTTCAGAAGTGCTTTGCCCTTGCCTCTTTCCTAGGCTAAGAGTTATCCAACTGGCTTTGTGCTCAAGGCAGGACTAGAACTCATGCTCTCCCAATCTCTAGTCTGGTACCTTAATCACTATACCCTATATGCTAGCTCTCAGTGGTGCATTTAGATCAGGGTTATTATAGAAAATCTATTGTAGATTTATATTATATTTTATTATAGGAACTTGTGGTCTCCAGGTTTCCAGCTTTATGCCTTAACTACTACACCAACCTGGCTGTCAAAGGACTATAATTATGTGGATTTAAAAGAGTGATGTACTTTTAATTAAGCCCAATAGCTAATGTAGATGCATGCTAAATTATACCTGTTTTTTTCTAAAACATCTTTTTTTTTGCAAGTAATTGACATGGTTACTTAACCTCATGGTTAAATAAATGAGGAAACTGCCAGATGACATTTAATGCAGTTCTACTAAAATATCTAGTCAGTTTTCATTCTCAAGAAAGCTATGTATTATAGAAATAATGTTTAACTCTTGACATTCTGAAAAGTGCTGAAAAAGAGCACTTCTTTTTCAGAGGACATTCAATTATTGATCCAGTGATGATTAGGTGGCCATTAGAGTTGTTTTGTTGTTATTTAAATAGGAGGTCAGACTTATACTTTAGGACTGCTTTTATTTTATATTGCTGTTTCCATTTTGTAAACCAGCTATAAATCGATAGGAATGGATGATTTTTAAAAATGTAAATTAATAACATATGTAGTTTCTGTGCCCAGAAATCAGCCTAGATCCTGGGATGCATGTTGTGTTTCTGATGTGATTTTGTTACAAAGCCACGTACTAAGCTATTGTCTGCTGGGATAAGCACTGCTGAGAGCCGAAAAGATGTAAAAGTAGTAAGCCAATCAAAGTAAGAGAGGAGAAAAAGAAAACATTAAAAGTTTTACACTAAGATAGCTAAAAGAGTTTAGACCAATACCATTCACAATACCTCTCCATACATTTCTACCCTTAAAAACAATTTAGTTTAACTAGGCCCATATACCACTTCATGCACTGGTTTGTGTTTTTTTTTAGTTTATTTATTTTTCCCCCAGGCCATTTTGAGAGTAACATTAACTCTGTTCCCATTAACAATTTGCCATTTTGTCTTTGTGGTGAATCTGTGTTCTCTTTGACCTTCATTTCCAAGATATTCATAGAATCATTTTGTTGTTATTTTTGGCATCAATCAGAAACTTCATGGCTTTCTGAGTTTTAACCTTTCTGATATGATTCCTATAATTTCCAGAGACTGCTTTGTGTTAGGGTTCTATTTTCTATTCAGATCTTTTTTCTTTTCTGTCCCCTATCTTTGAGAGCTCGAAGTGTATCCGCTTTGGATGCATTGGAGTCCTGTTTCCTTTTCATAAAAGTGTGTTTATAATTATGCTCTTACTAAAATCTTACTTTGTAAGATTTTCCAATCTTCTTAGACATGTTTCTTCTTTAAGAACTTCAAACCATTGAATCTGGCCTAGCCTCCCTTGAAGTTTATCAACATTTGCTCTTTTGAAATACAATATGCAGATCTGACTTTTCTCAGTTTCTCCTCTGTGGATATTATAAATTCAGGGATAACACAATCACCTTCCTCTACCATGCCAGTCAGTTTTGTTTCTTTGAAATGTTCCCTGTTGGTGAGGATTAGGCACAGATAGCAGGCTTGTTCTTTCTTCCAACTTCTGACAACTGAAATTGACAGCAACAGTTGACAAGAATTTGTTGAAGTTAACGAAGTTAACTTGGCAGAATTGGATTCCCTTCAGATGTCAGAATAATTGAAATCCCCCATTATCAAGATTGCATGCCTCTATGAAAGACTGGTTGTCTAACACAGAAAAGCTTCCTATGTGTCTTCTGCTTGCCTAGGTAGTCTATAATAAACTCCCATGATGATATCACTTTTCTTTCTTTCCTTTTATCCTTATCCAAATACTTTCAAAGGGATTTCTCTACTTTGGTCCTAGATTTCTATGTAAGTACGTATTTTTCTTTTAGACCATGCAACATTTTCAGTCTTCCATTGCTGTAATGCTCAAGGCTTAAATCTGGCCCATGGGGCCAGCCTGGAAATACCAAAGGACTGGCTTGTGGTGCCTCTGGCAACCAGAATAGGGTGCTGCAGGAGGCGTCTCTCCCATCTACCCCTCCCCCCCGGCCAGCCTGCAGAAGAGAACTACAATGCTGATCTGGCCCTTGAAGAAATCAAGCTTAACACCCCTGCTGTAATGGTATGTGGGGATGACCTTGGGAGACAGGAGGAAGAATTCTAGCCTAGATAACAGTCATGCAAAAGGTATCTCAGCCTACAGAGGGAAAAGGGATATGGGAAGCCTCTTGGAAAGGAACTTCTCTAATTTTCTGGAAAATAAAAATAAAAGGGACTTGGTCCTACAAGATAGTCTGCTTCCAGACTTGGTCCTACAAGATAGTCTAGATAAGAAACACAAATCCTGAGTAATAACCCTATCATTATTGTAAGGTTACAGTAACAAAAGCTTGCATGTCAGACTCTTCTGGACTCCCAAAGTCATTCTCACATGCCATTATAGTGGGAGTATTCTTTAAGCAAGTTGTAGCTTCCCAGCGATATGTGCCAACCGCAGATATTATTCTACCATTTCAGGGATGACGATCAAATTGTATTGGTCTTCTTGACTTAGAATCTCTAATTTTTCCTGGTTATTTCCAATACTCAGTGCATTATGTAGAAATATTCGAGGCCTTGAGTGGCAGTACCTACAGACTCTTCTGTTGGAATTTCTTGAGAAACTCTTGGCTTCCAGGTTCTTTATGTTTGAATTACCTGATCTTAATCCTTGGTTGCATATTCCCCTCGGAGTTTTTGCTACCTTTTGCTCTCTCATGAGGCTCTTCTGATGAAACTGGTTACCACCTACCAGACACTTCGTTGTCATCATAAAATGTAGCCCATCTCTTCCCAGGAGTCCTTTGTGAAGTGTAAGCCATTGTCATTTGATCCAAATCCTCCTTAGTGACACCATGTACTGGTAGGTAGTCTATTTCTGTGGATTATATTTACCTCTCTACCATCTTTTTAAAGAATGTTCCTTAACAGCAGGTTATTGCTTAACTGTTTACTCTGAGAAGTATTTAAACATTTGACAAGTTTTAATACCCTTCCTGAATTAGAATAAGTCGAGTTTCCACCAACTGCTTCTTCTGAAAAAACTCAACCAGAAAACTCAGCAGCAAAGAAATGGTATCTAATGACAAGAAATATTCTTTGTATACAATATGTGTTGAAAGTTACTCATAATTTCCTGAATTGAAATATTTGTGCATTTTAACTTATAGCACCAAATTTCATTGCTATCCAGTTATTAAAGTCATATTTTCTTTGAAATTTTATTAATGTATGTTTTTCAAGCTTATAATGGTGTAATATTCTAATTATGTGAAAGAAAGAGTCTAGTATGAAAGTTTAAAACTGATCAGTTTTCCTTAACTTGACTAATGAAACTAAACGTCTGTTGCTAATAAATGCTGTATCAAATTGCATCTTCTAATGCTCTATATGGAAACTGTTATTTAAAAAAGAAAGCCTTTCTATCAGAATCAATTATATGTGCCTGTAGAATTCTTCCGGCTTGTGAAAGTCAGAGATACATCTCTTCTGAATAATTACTAGGAAGTGTGATGGGAGTTATATTTTAGATGTTGAATTGATTAGTCCTCAATAGAAACAAAAATCCAATTCTACCAAACATTTAAATCATGACATGATTTTCAATCTTGAAAAACTAAAAAATATAATTTACATTCTAGCTTTTCTTCTACTCACTACAGGAATCTTAAATTATGAGCTCCCAAAAAAATACCCAACTTTTCAGAAAGTTAAAATTGGATGGCAATGAGTTTACAATTTTGTTTGCAGAGATATTGAGAATAGCTTGTCATTTGGCTACTTGAACATCATTAGCTCTCCTAACTCTATTAGTAGAAAAAATTGTTCCTAGAAGAAATCTCCATTACTAGTTAACGCCAGAGATATATAACGTTTGGATTTAAGTCTATAATTTGGAGATAAATTAAGGAAACAGTTTTCTGAGAATTGTAATCTTTCAGAGTATTTTTAGTTTATTGCAGCAGGCAAAATAGAGTTACTTTCAAAATACGATATCTGTTCACCTGAAATCTCAGTAATTGTTTGCTACTTTTCAATCACTTCTAGTTTGCTAACTCAACAGCTGCTAAATCACGATCTTTTCTCACACCTAGTGATTTTGATAATTGTGATAAAAATTGGTTGATTCAAGTTTTATTAGCAGCACTAGGCTCCTTCATTCAATAGTTCCAATTGTGCTGTATTAAATAGTACCAACATTCTCTTTCTCCAGTTCTATAAGGGGTAGTAGCAAAATAATTACTGATACTTCATCTTTCCTTCTGATCCTTTACTCTCATTCCTTTATTCATGTCTCTCTCTTCACTTTTCCCCACCCTTTCCTTACAGGAATGATAAACAATTGCCCTTCTCCTTTGGTTCTCCTCACCCCTAAGAAACATGCTTATTTATGTCCTTTGTGAAAAAAGCCTTCACTTGATCCTTCTGTTTGTACTTGACTTCTGTCCAACTCTGAGCAGATCTGAATGGCTATCTGCCTAGTAGCTAAAATATTCCTCGAAGCAACCCTGCAGATAATCCTGTGCTTATCTCTCCTGAGCAAATCATCCTAAATAGGGCTGCTGAACAACAGTTGGGGAGTAAGATAAGAGCAGAGAAGTAACTACACTTTGCTGTCCCTTATCACCACATGCCACTCTGACTATGAGAAGTTGTTTCATAAATTCTTGCCTATTAATTTGAATGTAAGATGTTTATCCTATTACATGGCATAGGCCTTTTTGTTTAGGATATCCTTTTTATAATGTGATAGAATAATTAATTGTAGTGTTCGAAGCATTAGACATTTAACCCTGTACTTGTGCACACTTAGAGACAGTTTTAAAAAAAGATTGGATCTTTTGGATGGGAAGCCATAAACATAATTACTGGTATAACACTAAATATCTACTAGAAAATATTTTGAACTAAATACAAACTTTTCATATTGTGCAGGAACTTATCTTAATCACCACAGTTACAAAATGAGCTAATTGAAAATAATGTGCCATTTGTTACTCATAATAAGAGATTCTTTTTAGAGTTTGAAAGACTGTTTTCAACTAAACTGGTTTCCTTCTGTTTCCTTTTATCCGTTTTAGTAACTCCATTTAAAGATGGTAAAAAAAAATCCCCGTAATTCTATATTTTTTTTGTAATCAAAGTCCTACAGAAATTACCGGCTGAAACTCCCTTTCTGCCAAGTGCTTGATAACATAGATTCAAATTTGTTGTACTTTCAAATTCTTCTACTTGTGAAACTTTTTAACAGTTATGATGACTCGAAGCATCAATATTTCATCCTTTATGGTAACTAAAATCGCATACACCGTACACTGCCTCAGTTGTAAACCATCTGCTATTTTTATTGTTTGTTTTCACTCTTCAGTTTGATAAAGGATATGCTTACAGCATCCGGCATAGCTATGGAAAAGAAGGCAAGAGAACGGATTATACTCCATATAGCTGCATGAAAATTATCCTGTCCAATCTCCCAGGCCAAGGGGATTATCATGGTGAGTGTTTGTTTGTGACAGGCAGCTTTAGAAGCCAATGGATCACTTGGCTGTATTAGTGGCAGAAGTTGGATTTGTGGCTTAAGGCAGCCTTTGCTGTCAAGTCAAGTGTGCTGCTCCTCTTCTGACAATTTGTGTTATTATTGAACCAGGTTAGACCAAAGAGGTTTGTTAGGTCTGTGTTCCACTGAGCCTTGCTACGTTTCTTTTTTTGCTTGTTTTCATCCCCACAATGTTTCAAAGCAACAAGTGGCTCAGCGCTTTTTCTTTGCCAGCAAACTGCCAAAGAGCTATAAATCATTTGATCCCCCCTCCCAAACCAGACACTCTCCGGAATCTATGGGATGTTGTAAATCTAATGATTCATTGTCTCTAGAATAAAATGGGGAGCACTGTAATAACATTTCCAAAAATTTCACACAATCAGATTTTTTTCAAAATGTTTGGTTTTTCCTTCAAGAGACTCCTTTACCTCTGAACACTGGGAAGTCATTTGCTAATTACAGTGAATTGTTTATTTTGTCCTTTATTATTTCCCAGTCATTTAAATCCAATACCCTAAGAGTATAGATCTAGGTGCCTAGGTAATTATATTAAGAGGAAGATATATTGATAAATGTACTTTCTTTTTCTTTTGTAAAATGGATAAATAAGAATAATCTAGTTTCATCCTCATGTTTATCTATGTTCCTCTGTCATTCAGCTTGAATGGAGAATTAGAATGCCACGAATACTATTTAGTTGCATATATATTTAGAAGACTAAAGAGACAGAGAGGCAGTTTGTGCTTGGTACCAAGTTAAAAACTAGGAAACCATGAGTTCTAGTTCCACATTTGATATGGAGCCAGTGAGATGATTTTGGGCCAGTCATTCTCTATCAGCCCTAGGAAGCAAGCAGTGGTAAACCTCTTCTGAAAAATCTTGCCAAGAAAACTGCAAGGACTTTCCAGGCAATCACCAGGAATCAGTAGTATTAAAGGAGATCCATTTTGGGCTAGCAATTAAGGCACCAGACTAGATACTAGATAGGGGGCTGTGAATTCTAGTCCCCGCTTAGCCATGAAAGCCAGCTGGGTGACCTTGGGTCACTTTCTCTCAGCCCAACCCATCTCATATGGTGGTCATTATGGGCAAAATAAGAGAAGGAATATGAAGGTGGTAATCATATCTACCTTCGATATGTTTACCTTTTTCAGTTATTTGTAAAAATAATAAAGCTGGGATACATACATACATATTGTACATACATACAAATGTATGATAAGGTACTCCCATCTGTATTTGTAAGTTGTATATAACCAATGATGTCTACAGATTTCACCAGCAATAATCTAATTTGATTATAATGCATTTATCATTTAAGCTGTGATACTTGATTTTTAAGTCAGTGCAGACCAGTGGTAGCTAATCTTTTCGGCACCGAGTACCAAAATGGGAGCGTGTGCATGTGTATGCACCGAAAACCGGAAGAATAGCTGCCTGACACTCGTGCGGAGGAGTGCTGGAAGCCAGAAGCTTAGCTTCCCACGTGCGCATGCACGCTGGCCACCTGTTCTCCCGGTTTCTAATGCGCATGCGTACGTGAAGATCAGCTGGCGAGCATGTGCATGCATTCCGGGGAGCTGCTGTTCCGGTTTCTGGCGCTCCCATGCGCACAAAGACCAGCTAGCTGACGTGCATGCATGCATTGGAACCTAGAAGAGCAACAGGTGACGGCTGGCATGCCCGGAGAGATGGCTCAATGTGCCACTTCCAGCACACGTGGCATAGGTATGGGTGTAAACAGTCCCAGTGAAGTGAATGAAATGAAAGACTGTTGGGCACCAAGTTTAACTACTGTTAGCGAGTCCTCTATGTTAACGTGTTTCTTTCCACTCAGTACACATATTTTGAATTATTTGTAAGCTATTGCAGCTTTTTCTGGTGATATAATTACTGTTTTATATGTATAATCTTTCATGCCCGTTGCAGCCTTGACCTACTGAATTATGTATTTTGAGCTGTCAGAATAGCCTTTCCTAACCTTAAATATTCCAGTTTGGCCAGAACTACTTTCAAATATCAATGCCAGTATGTTGGTTGAGAATTGTGTCAGGTTGTAGGCCAAGATTACTCAAGAATCACAAATACTTATGCTGAACAGATTTTGGTGAAAAGTTTGCACATGGGGGTAGTTATTTTTCTGTATTTTATAATCTGGCAGATAATAAATAAGCACTGTTTGCTAGATTCTGCAGTGCTTTGATATGCCAATTTTTGAATAATTTTACCTTCCCCTTTTCTTTTTGTTAGGATGCCCATTTCGCCACAGTGACCCAGAGCTGCTGAAGCAGAAGCTTCAGTCGTATAAAATACCTCCTTCTGGAATTGGTCAGGTACCGAATCTATTATTCTGATACCAGGCATCAGAAATATCTTTTTAGTTTTATTTCATAATTATGGACAAGGAATGCAATTGTCTCTTAAATCACAGCATACAACTTGTTATGATCTCACCTACTTGATAGATGTGTGCATGCTTTTAGAAACACCTCTCTTGTGATCTTCAAATCCTTCCCTGTTAAAACCTGTAAATTGCAGGCAAGAACCACAGAAGTAATCATCAAGTAATATTTGTGATGCTTTTTCCCATTTAAATGGAAAGGCAGGGTATAACTTATGCTTTGTATGTATGCATGTGTGTATATACTGTACATGCAAACCTAACTGCTATATTTTAAAAATATATTTTAAAGGTTTCTTATTCTGAATTTGAAAGAAATTATTTACATTTTGAGTAACGGTAGTGTGTTTTTTCAAAGTTCAAATTCATCACAGTCTGGCATGAAATCTAGTCACCTCAGAAAACCTTTCATTTAGGATAATCAATTGAGACCTTTTGTCGTTCATTTACTTATTTATTTATTAAACTGATATGCCACCCATCTCACCTGGAGGCCACTCTAGGTGTCTTACAGTCAATAAAAGACCGGTATAAAACATTAACACAGTAAATAGTAACATTAAATTTGGTTTAAAATTGACCAAGATTTGGGGAGGAAGGAGGGAGGACGTGGGGTCTACGTCAATTAACCATCTCCAGAATAACATACTCCCATTGGGACCCTAGGCCAGTTGGCAGAGCCAGATCTTCAGGCTTTTCAGAAAGCTAAGACGGTGAGTGAGCATCTCACTGGGGGTGGGGCACGATGTTCCAGAGCAGGGGTCCCCAAACTTAGCAACTTTAAGACTTGTGGATTTCAACTCCCAGAATTCTCCAGCCAGCTATGTCCACAAATCTTAAAGTCCACAAATCTTAAAAGTTGCTAAGTTTGGAGACCTCTGTTCCAGAGGGTATGAGCCACAGCAGAAAAGGCTCTTCTGGAGCTTGCCAGCCAAAATTCCTTGAATGATTGGGTCTGGAGTATGCACCTTCTGCCAGTGCGGGAGGGGTGGGCCAGTCTCATTGAGGTGAGATGGTTCCTCAGATAACATGAACCCATGCCGTGAAGAACTTTAAAGGAAAGAATCAACATCTTCAACTTGATCGAGAAGCAAACTGGCAACCAGTGCAGCTTACCCCATGAATTGCTTATCTTTAAAAAAAATGAAAGTATTTTAAGGTATCTTTTAAAAATATTAAGAGCAACTGTGGACCCAGAAAATTTGGTCACCATTTTTAAAGCAGGTGACATCACTCCTCCTGCAAACAGGCATTAACCACCAAATGGACTCAACTACATGTCATCCATCATTAATTCTTAACCAACCAGGAGGGGTCAAAAATCTAGAATATGCATGGCTGAACTCATAAGTCCTAGGACAATGTGTACTTCATCAGGACCATGAGGTTCAAACTGTGCCCAGAAGTCAGCCTAGATCCTGGGCCTTTGCAACAGTTATGTGTAAATCTGTGCAGCTTTATGTAATATATTGGTTCTTACAAAACAAATACTACTAAAGCTGAACAGCTGTCTAAATAAACATGATTTCATAAATGCAGCTAATCCCTGCGGGAATAATGCTAGTTAGGACTGGGGTTGCCATCACTAAGGAATGTGGTTATAAAGCATGATGGCACATGACTGCATTGGTTAGCGATGGCAATTCCTAGTAGCCCCAGTTATTGTTATCCCAAGATCTGATTTACTCTAACCCCTTGCAACCTTCCCTGCCGGCTTCCCCATTGATTTGGGAGAGCCAGCAGGAAAGGTTGCAAATGACAGTCATGTGACTGTGACTCCCTACAACTTATAACAGCGAACTGGACACCAGAGTACGTGGGTCATGATCACATGATGGTGTCCCGTTCACTGTTATAAGTTGTAGGGAGTTTGTCCACTTTGAGGACAGGTTGTATGTCCATTTTTTCAGTACTACCATAACTTTGGTCATTGAACAAAAATCTATAAGTTAAGGACCACCTGGATGGTGTTAAATAATTCAATTTACAAAGATAATTTCTATTGTCTTATTTTGATCACATCAGTTGCAGCTGTTACATGGTGAATATTTTTTTTTTAGCACATGGCACGTGTTAGCCAGAGATCACTGAGGTGACTGGCTGCTTCTGTGAAAGGAATTTTTTGTGGAGTGGTGTTTGTCTTTATCTGCGGGATGCTTGAATACCAGTAGGCAATTGGGGGAGGCTCCTTTCTTGTCCCTACGCATTTTATTTGCTTACCTCAGCGGTGCGCAGGCCCAGCATCTTACCACGTGAGCCACCATGGTGAAGAAGATTGAGAGAATGTACCAGATTCTTATTTCTTATTAATAGTTGAACAAATGTTGCTTTTTCTCTATAGTGTAGAATAATACAGTTTTTTTTAATGATAATGGGCAAGAGAAGTTCTAACCTTTTATGGTATTTCCTGCAAATACCTTGAGAATGTGAAGGCAGAAATACATGGTTTTTGTTTGGTTTCTTTCCAACTGAAAAAATAGGATTTTAAAAATAAAGTGAAATTTCAATATCCAGTGTTGGATGTTAAAAATAATATGCCCAGAGAAAGTAGATGGCAGATTTGGCTAGGCAAAGAAATAAATGTCTTTGTAAAACCCTTAAAGAACAAGCTGAGTTACACTGGGATAGTGAGAAACTGACCTGGAACTACAAAAATGTCTCTAAATATGTTACAGTTGCTGCACTTCAATCACATTTTAAGTCACCTTTCAAATAAAAATGAAGGTTAGAAGTAGATAAAATGCAGCAAGCCTTTATTGAAAGATTGAGACTTTCGGAATAGAAGTAACTATTTTATTTGAAAAATGCTCCATACTGACCTTGAGTAAATGAAGAGATCAATGATTGTAAAGCTAAAGGAAGCTAACCGTGGTAAGCTTATATGTAGCAGAATAGCCCATAATCTGATTTCATTGATAGAGTCCAGAAAAGAGTGGGCAATAAACTGTAATAAGTGTTCCTGCCTCATACACCCATTGCCTGGCCAAAGCAGTCCCTCAGGTCAGAGCATTTTTAGTAACAGATAATAGTGGGGTTCTGAAAGTGGAAATGTGTGTAATATCTTTTGGGTCAAAATCAATACATCTGTACTCTTTTGGAATGTCACATGAATATATGCACACAGTGTCAGTACACATTGTCCTATGCCTGACTAATTTTTCCCCTCCTCTTGTAGATTGGAGAGAAAAGTATTACAAGAGAGTAAGGAGACACACAATAGAAAAAACACCAGCAGGTTGCACTTCACACTCAGGACTGCTGACTCCAGCATGTTACTTTTAATTCTCCTTTGTATGCTTGTTTACTCCCTTGTAATCATTTCTTCTCCAATGAATGCAAATGCAAACATTAATTCCCTTGCTAATTATCCCAGTGTCAAGGTAAGTAATCCAAAATACAGGGGAGTGGGGGAGAAAGGAAAACTGGAGTAAAATCATAAGCACTGTTGCCTTGTGTGATTTTCTACCTAGCAATTACTTTGCTTAACAATTGGAGTTACCAGTTCCAAATGTGGTCACTAAACAAAGATTACCTGTATTTTTTCTTCACCTTTTGTTTGACAAAACCCGTTTTATATTGCTGTTAAAGATATATAGAGTTCTTGGCTTCCTTTGCTGATTATATTTCTTCCAGAAGCCAAGGCAATATGGAGATTAAACTAAAATTGGTCTACAAAGTTTTTCACTTAGCTATCAGGTGGGTACTAGGTTTGCCCTCAGAGATGCAACATCTTTATACGAGAGTGTCTGCACACAGTGCTTGAATAAAAGTGTGATCCAGAAAGTGTGTCTTGGAATATTGTTTTCATAGGTCATTTGCCAAATCTTTCAGTTGATTGCAGGATTAGTTCATTTAACTCAACAGCAAACATACCTGCATGCTTTATAGCAGGGAGGTCAAACTCATGTCATCACAGCTTTGTCACATGACATATCGGGACTTTCCCCCACTTCGCTAAACCAGGCATGGGTGTGGCCAGCATGTGACACACCCAGCCTGCAGGCTGGGAGTCTGACAGCCCTGCTTTATAGGATTCCCAGATTCATCACTACAGTTTCAGGAAAATGGGACCTTTTAAAGTGGAAGAACCCTTTTAAAAAAATCTATATGGACTTTAGAAAGATTTTAAGGGATCACGTGAAACCATGTTTATGTGAAAAAAAAAAGCATCATGGGCATTGGAATGAATTCCAGTCTACACCATAAGCACCATACCAGATTTATGGTTTATGTGATAACTCTAAATCCTGCTAAGATCCACATAGAAAAATACAAATATTTGTGTTTGAAAGGATCTGGAATGCTCATTTCTAGAAAACAAAGCACGACCAGAATTGGCACACTCTAGAAGAAAATGAGACAACAGGCACAGTCAGGAGAAAATCAAGTGTTCTAGTAAACATCAGAACATTCTGTTACTAGACTGCCTAATGAAAAGAAGGGCTAGGGGAGACATGAATGCACTGTTCCAATATCTCAGGGGCTGCCACAAAGAACAGGGAGTCAAGCTATTCTCCACCTGAGGGCAAGACTAGAAGCAATGGGTGGAAACTAATCAAGGAGAAAAGCAACTTAGAACTAAGAAGAAATCTCCTGATAGTTAGAACAATTAATCAGTGGAACAACTTGCCTCCAGAAGCTGTGAATGCTCCAACACTGTAAGTTTTTAATTGGATAACCATTTGTCTGAAGTGGTGTAGGGTTCCCTGCCTAAGCAGGAGGTTGGACTAAAAGACCTCCAAGGTCCCTTCCAACTCTGTTATTCTATTCTATTCTATTCTATTCTATTCTATTCTATTCTATTCTATTCCATACCATACCATACCATACCATACCATACCATACCATACCATACCATACCATACCATACCATACCGTAAGTTCTGTACGCAGCAGGTCCTATGATTCAGTTTTAACTGTCATAAGCTACTCAGAAAGTTGAGGAGGGCATCGCTGGCGTCGCGATGATACAGCATGCAATCTTGGAGGTCTGAGATTGCTGCCGATATCTTTGCTCCTGGACGGTCCAAACGGATCTAAACCATGCCGAAGAGACAGTGAATGTAAAGAGCGTATCCTGTTGATCCCAGGGACACCGCAAAGTCCCTGGTAGATCCAGGAGAAGCTCTTTTTGCCAACGGCAAAGAGGCAGCCATTAAAGCTTCTGAAGTTGGGACAGCTCCGAAACGAAAGAGAACGGAAAGAGAAAGTGTGCCAGTTTGATGAGAACTTTTTCTTTACTTTAAGATTTGAAAGGACACTCTAAGGAAAAGAAAGAATCAGTAAAAGTTTTGACAGAAATGATTAAGCGGCGATTTTAAACAGAAAGTCAAAGTAATATTTTTATTTTTTCTCATTGCTGGATTTTCCACACATGATTTTATATTTTGAAACTGGACTGGGTTTTTTTTTTCCACCTATCCTTTCTCTCCTTTTTGACTTTATAATATTCTAGGCTAGAGAATCCCTTCTAGTCATCTTTTTAATATCTTTTTCCCTTTTTAATTAGTTTTTATTATATCTTGTTTGGAAAAGGAGGGGGAAAGTGAAAGCAGAAGAAACTTTGTAACACTGCCAACTAGAGGCTTGAAAATATTGTATCTCTTTTTTTTCTTGACCAGACAAAGCTGAGAAAGAACTGAGACTTCTTTTCAAGGACATACCTGTTTGATAAGATAGAGGGAAGAGCATGGGAGAGTATTATTACAGGTGCTTTTCTGGGTTTCTATCAATAGCTAGAGTCTAGTGTTGAAGTTTATAGAAAAAAAAAGATGATAAGACTCTGGAAAAGAGAGTTATAAACTTTAACAAAAGCCTTGGATAACCAAATAAGGTGCACTGTGCTCTTTCTACTTTTTTTTAAGCTGGGCTATTTCTTACTTTAACAAACCCCCTCCTTACTAGCTTACTTTTTGTAATAGCTATTTGGATTTTTGACCTTTTGGAACTTGTTTTTGTTTTTGAAATCTAATTTTTACATTTGCATTTTATTTTAAAGGAAAAGCTTTAGTATTAATGATTTCCTTCCTTTTTTTCTTCTTTTTAAGGGAGTAGTCTCTTCTTTTTTCTCTCTCCCTCCCTTGTATTTTTTTTTCTATTTATCTTCCATATTGGTTTTTTTGTGGCTTTCTTTTTTTTCTTATGCATTCTTTTATACCTGGGACCTTTTAATTGGATTAAGATGTTGAAGAACTTTTCTCTTCTTTAGTTTTTTATTTTCTACTTTTCTACTTTTCTGCCTTTTCCAGGATTTAAAATTTTTTCTTTTTGGGTGTGTGTTTATGGTCTTTTCTTCCATTTTTGAGTTTTTACTGCTATCTAACCAATTGATTGGATTAAGCTTTAAAAGAACCTGAAGAGATTTTATTATTATTATTAGTAGTAGTAGTATTGTTGTTGTTGTTATTTGGCTTCTTTTTTCCCACAGTTTTTACTTGGAATTGCAATTGGTTATTTCACAAGTGGATTAAGGTCTAGAAGAACCTGAAGATTTTGAATTGTCTGAAATGAGTAAGAAGCTAACAGCCCCTGGTTCCTCAACCTCTACTTTTTCCTCTTCACCATCTGGCGGACAACGCTCAATACAGACAATATTACAGCAAGAAAAAGAACAGGAAAAAGTGACGCTGTAGATCAGGGGTGTCCAACCTTGGCAACTTTAAGACTTGTGGACTCCAACTCCCAGGATTCCTGTCCACAAGTCTTAAAGTTGCCAAGGTTGGACACCCCTGCTGTAGATGATTATGCAAGGAATTCAAAATATACAAATAACAACAGAGAATATTGAAAAGAGAACAGAGAACATTGAACAAAGAACAGGAAAAACTGATGAAAAGGTGGAGAACATTCAACAAATGATGATGAAGTATGATGAGAGATTCCAAAAACTTGAAGAAGATAAAGAGATAAGATTGGAGACATTGATAGCAGATTAACTGTGGTTGAACAAGATAAAAGTGGAATTAAAAGTGTGGATAAAAGTGTATTAACAGTGGCTAGGATTGTATTTGCCAAAAACTGGAAAAATGAAAAAATACCATTACAGGAGGAAATCATTAAGAAAATATTGGAATGTGCTAAAATGAGTAGATTGACATTTGAAATCAGAGAACAAGATGATAAATAATTTTATAAAATTTGGGATCTATTCTATCAATGGTTAGACAATAAAACACGGTAATGAAATATGTAGATTCTTAGAAAATAATAAATATATAAAGATGTATTCTTATTGTATGTTATTCAGCTTTGTTCGGGTATTTTCCCACGTCATTGTAGTTGTGCTTTTAAAGTTGTAGCAACGTTTCGGCAGAATTTCATCTGCCATCATCAGGCTTCTGTACTGTGTTCGTCACGAACACAGTACAGAAGCCTGATGATGGCAGATGAGATTCTGCCGAAACGTTGCTACAACTTTAAAAGCTCAACTACAATGACGTGGGAAAATACCCGAACAAAGCTGAATATCATACATGTAAGTACCTGCGAAAACTTAAGGAAACATGTATTCTTATTATATCTACAAAATGATTGTAGGATAGATTTGAGATGATAATATGAACTGTCATAAAACAAATTAAGTAAAATATGGATTATTTCATAAAACATGAATTAATAAAAGTATAGTCAAATGATTGATCTACAATGATATTAATGTATTTAATATTTGATTGAAAATATGAGAATATATACAATGTAATTGTAATTGAAGACTACGAAATGGAAGCACAAAACAATTTGGAAACCAACCGACACACTGTATGTATATATATGGATGATGGCTTGATGTTTTTATGTTTTGTTTGTCTATGTTTGTCTTAAAAACCAATAAAAATTAAAAAAAAAAGACAGTTGCCATAATACTGTCCATCTTTTACTGTAAGCCAAGGAAGTTTTCTATATATGTTACATCTATGATACAATATTATAAAATCTTCTTGGTTGAGTATCATTGCAAATTAGCTTGAGGCTCTATTTGCAATATGCATAACTATTTTCCCCTCAAACTGCTACCTGCTTCAGTTCAAAAGCAAAGAGACCGTGCCAAGCTTGTGATTCTTTTGGTTGGTTGACTTGTTTTTCACATTGTACTTAACAGGAGGTGACAGCAAAGGCAGATATTTAATCAGTTTTGCTTGTAACAGCAAACAGACCCAGTAAGCACTTCTTTGGCAGCAGTATGGTTTGATATATTCAGCAAATATTATTTGTACATCTGTCAATAACTATAAGGCAGTCTCCATAACGAGGACAGCAGGGATTTGTGCTGGAGTTTATTGCCACTCTTGACTTTAAAAGGTCAGCCTCTCAGAAAAAGGGTTAGAAATTTGCATTCCTCAAAAATGTTCTTTCCACTGAAGCTATCTCTCAGTTACAGCAGTTTTCTGTGGCTGATAAGCAGCACATATAAAAAGAATAATTATCGATCAGCAGAGGAAAAAAAAATGACATGCAACTTAAATTTTAAAACGCCATTGCATTCTGCTGATAAGAATGAGTGCTTTTGCTGGACAGAAGCGATTACAAGGTAGAATTGGGAAGCAAATTGTATTTACAAGAGATAGAAAAATGTTTCTAGTAGGAGTTCAAAACAGACAATTTCTTTTCTTGTTCCGGGAACTGCTGCTTAGAAACAACTTACTTTGAGGGCTGATGTTTTCAAGTAGCTTTCCACTACTTCTTTTCTAAATTACTACAGTTCTTAATGGTGTCACAGTCCCAGTGTACTACCCAATGCATGAAAAAGCTATGTGTAAGGAATGACCACATATGTTGAGTGATTTATGTTTCAGTTTCTCAAATGCAAACACGTATTTGCAACCATAGAAATATTTTGGAAATTGATATCCTGGAGATAATCATTGCAAATATAATAGCCAAATTTTTCTAACTTTTGATTTGAGTTTGAAACTTTTTTAGAAGCACTGAAGCACATGTACCCTGTTTCTCCAACAATACGGCCTCCCCCAATAGGAAGTCCCAGCATGTTTTATAGGCATGAAATGAAATTAAGCCCCTCCCCACAAATTAAGGGCTATATTAAAACATGCGAAATGGGGGGGAAATGGCGGGGGGGGGGCTTGGTGTTAGGAAGTACTTTTGTTGCATACCCGGATATGGTGCTACCTGCGTTGACCCTAATACAAAGTGCCCCACCAATGCCGAGGTCAACATCCAAGCCGTCGCCGCCCGCCCTAAGATGCAAGGGGGGGAATTAAGTCACCCCTGAAAAGATGGCCTAGCCATTTTTTCGGGGCTCAAAAAAAAATAAGACCCGGCCTTATTATATGAGAAACACGGTATCAATTCTGTCATGCTTTCTAAAGATGTGTTCTCTTTATGGACTGGAATTAGTGTGCGTTTGTGTGTGTATTTTAATTGGTTCAATTTCTTTTTTAGATATTGGACTTGGTGAAAGGTATGCATTATCAGCTGGCCTGCCAAAAATACTTCGAATTGACTCATGATGTAAGTACATATTTTCACTGTTATGTTTGGGAATCATACCAAAGCCTCAGAAAAGGGAAACTATTCTGTTCACAGTCATTGTCAGTGCGACTCGTTATAAGTTATGCTGAGCTAATGATATAATAGCAGATATCTTTGATTCCACATAACAATTAACATCTGGTAATTAAAAACTAGCTTCTCTGCTTTTCTCCTCCTAGAGAAAGGTGTAAGATCCTAATGCTTTTGAAGCTCAGAGACTTCTCTGAATGGAAAGCTACTGCTATGCTTTGTACCTCACGTACATCTTATCCATCTTTTAAATCAGAATAAAAGCAAATCATCACGCGCATAATATAACCGTATTGCCATCATACTGTGGAGCTATAAAAGATGGCAATGGAAGACAGAAAACCACTCTCTAGGTAGTGGCTTACAATGCTTTGATGTACTTCAAATGTTGCTTTTCACTCTATTCTACAAACAGGCTAGAAGGCAAATTTTCAGCTTTTGATTTGTATTATAGTACTAGGTATATAAACCTAGTATATATAATGCAAAAGGCCAAGTTTATTATTTTCAAAGGGCATTTTTAATTGCCAAATTATTTACATGCTATATATTATCTAGAGTTGAATTCTAACCTTCAGTTTTCAGTTTTCTCTTTAGGCTTGGTGCATAGAATTAGCTATAGTTGTTATTATTGCTTTGTTTTCATGGTTTCGACACATCTCCTATGGAATACTGTTCTGTAGCCTTCTTCAGGATCTTGCCGTGCCGCTAAAATATTCTTTTAGCGTACTAAAATGCCATGTTATGGAAAGAGGGAAGAGCACTGGTGAAGTCATGTCAGGAGCTACTAATGGGTAGGCATTTGGCCTGGAGCATTATGGTGGCAGAATATGATATACAAAGGGAAAATATTCTAACAGGAAGGCTTGTTTGACCTTCTTAGGACTCTGCTTCTCAAAGTATGAACAAAAACAATTGTAGACAAGGAAGACATATTAAGGGGCCTTTTGAGCACAGAGGATCAGCAGTGTATTTTTACTCTGTGGAAGTTCTACTTGATAAGAACTTAAAGATTGTGCTGGATCCAATTGTAAAAGTTCCAAAGTTCAGCATTTTGCTTATTAGGAAGACCACAAGCAGGGCAAAAGAATTGTAGCCCTGAACTACTTGATCCTGTCTGAAAAAAAGTGAGGTAGCTATTGTTCACACAGTCACACTCTTGATATTGTGCATTGCTTATTCGTCGTGAGCATCTTTGGGTACTATTAGCCTTATTCTTGACTGTTGTTGGCTTCTTGTGGTATTTGATTCTGGATTTGGTCAATACTTATTCGTAGTAGTAAATGAAAGTTCTCTTCCAACAATGTTGAGTGAAAATATTTGTGAATACAGGTTAAATTCTAAGCAAAGCCTTAAAGGAAAAAAGGACATGTATTCGTTTTAAAAATGCAAATCGGTACAGTATTTGAAAATATATTGAAGAACGGAAAATGATTATAGTCGCATGAGCTTCAAATTGGATTTACTTTTAGGTATCAAATATCAAATTAAGCTTTAGATCCAAAAACATTGAAACTATAAGCAAAAAAGCTTGAAGCAATAAGTGTGTGGGTGTTTGTGTGTGTGTGTGTGTGTGTGTGTGTTTTCCCTATTGGTATTATAACAGCCCAACATCATTAAAATGAGATAAAACAATGACATAAAGATATAACCCGCTTATGGCATAGACCAGTGGTGGTGAACCTATGGCACATGTGCCACAGGTGGCACACAGAGCCCTCTTGTGTGCCGTCACCCCAGCTCAACTCCACTATGCATGCGCGCACACTTCCTGCCAGCCACTTGGCCTCCAGGTCTCTGCTGTGCATTTGTGGGGGCGGGGTACATGTGCAGGGAGCGCATGCATGGGGGCACCTTGCATTTTGGGTATGCGCGCTTGTGCGCTTTGGGCACTCGGTACCTGAAAGGTTCACCATCACTGGCATAGACGCATTCACAGTTACAACATAATACATGATCAATGAAAAAAGTTGTTGGCATTGTAGGTATTATAGTGAAAGTGGAGACTTTCAGTGAGAGTTCTTTGTCACTGGTTATTGACTTAATGTGCTTTTTGACCTTCAGAGATCACAGAATAGCTGGTTATTAAAATAGAAATGCACACATTTTTTAATAATGTGTTTCTATGTAATTTCTGTGGAATTCAGTCAGGCTTCCTCCCTGAGCAGCACATGAAGGATTGCAGCTTAAACAGCTTGTTTACAGTAGAGTTCTAATCATGATTGTTGGCTCTGAGCATTATTTCCCAAATGAGGTTGTAGGGAGCCCTGGGATTCCACAAGAGATTGTTATGTTGTTGTTTTTAAAACTTCTACGTTCTGTAAAATTCTAGCACTTGGAAAGTTGGTATTTTCATGCGCTTCAGCTCAGCTGCTGGTCCCCATTTTTGCTAGGATTTCCACAAAAGATAATTACAAATACATCTTTTTTTAACCTTCACACATACTACCAAGCTAGTTGGAGACAAGATAATTTTTATGCAGTGATTGACTGAAATCTGAAAATTATTTTAAGGTTTCTTCTGGAGTAAAAAGCTTGAGAAAGGCTGCTCTGGAGCTGTCTGGTGTCCTGTATTCCTCAGAGGCCATTAACTCTAGTAGGCTAAGAAAGGAAAGAATCAAATATGGAGTCCTGTAAGACTAAACCACTGCTAGAACATAGAGAAGGCTGAATGCCTGATGACTGTATTGCCAGTCAAGACAAATAATTGTATCCCCTTACCTATGATATGGATACATTTCCATTTCTTTCTTGTCTCAATTTTTTGTTTGCCTTAACTGATAAACTTGTGCATTTACACTCACGCTCCATGCATTTGTGCTTGAATGCCTCTAAATGCTTTGCTATCATGAATGATTTGGCTGAACCAATATTCTTAGTAAATATAATGTGTGTTGAAATATGTTAGTAAGCTGTCAGAGCTATTAGGTTATAAACAGTAATAATTAGAGCAGTTGCCATTAAACTTGGCAACGCGCATATCCATGATTATAAGGAAACTGCCAGTTTTAATGTAGCTTCATAAGCATAATGCTTTTGATACTGTGCTAAATGTTGCCTTTCTAATGATTTATAAAGAAGAAAGGCTGATTTACTTTTCAGTTTTTCTAGTGGTCAAACCTCGGTTTCTTGGTTGATCAAAACATATATTTGAGAAAGTGTATAAATAAGAAATAATTCCATATGGCCTTTGTAGAATAACAGCTTGCCTCATTATCACCTGCCATTCTGCAATTTCTTGATTAAAGGTTCAACATCATGGGTTCAGCTTTTTTTTTTTTTAAAGCCCTGTAGTATAACGCCAAAAGAATGCCAAGTTTTCCATGAAGAAAAATGTTTAGCTTTAGAAGATGAAAATGCAAGGTGTGCAAGGTAGAGGAAGCTGCTTTTAATCTAATGTCCTTTTATTGTTGTGTCAGTCTGTATTAGAAGGGAGAGAGGGGTTACTTTGCTTTTTTGTTTTTTAAGTATAGACAATAAATGTGTTCGATTTTAGTTTCCTTGGGCAGCAGAACTTTAGTTTCTATTTAAGTGACTGGGCATTTTTTGGGACGTAAATTACCATTTCAACCAAAAAGAAGAATAATTACAGTTAGATTTTTTTGCAACCTCTCCCCACATGCAGACATATGTACTATAAAGGTGGATTTTTAGAATGCAATTTTTTAAAAATCTCATACACACATGTCTATCCCATAAGTCTCCAACCTCCGATCCATGGACTGGCATCAATTCTCAGTATGCCAGAAACCGGGCCACACAAACAAGCAAAGCCTTATCTAGGGATGCAGGCACCTATGAAACTATGCCCCCTCCGGTCTGTGGAAACACCTCTCTCCATGATGCCCAAAAGGTTGGGGGCTGCTGCCCTAAATGATTTTGACTTAGGGATACAAAGCTAGCTGGCCAAGTGTGCAGGTGGGGTTACATTACCCAGAATGGAAACAATCAAATGTGAGCATGAAAAACTCCAAAAGGGGCTCTTTGGCGAACAGTCAACCCAATGTGAAAGAGGACGGGGTTCAGTTTGAGTAAGTGTGCAGTGACATTTACATGGATGAAGTCAGAGCAGTCTTAACCAACCAGAATAAAGATCTTTCTCACTGAAGCTATTGGTTGAATGTGCAGCTGCCACAAAAAAGGCAGAGCCTATGCTAGGGATTATTAGAAAAGGTTTAGGAAACCCAAATGCAATGCCATTATACAAAACTCTTGTACATCTATATCTTGGCAGTTCTGGTTGCCAAGTTTGAAAAAACAATTGGGAAAAATGCAGAAAAGGGTCATCTAAATGATCAGAGGACGTGAACCCCTTTTCATAAAAGAACAGAACACATTAACAGAGTTGGAAGGACCTTGTAGGTCATCTAGGGCCACCCCCCCCCCCCCGCCCAAGCAAGAGATCTTCCACAATTTCTGACAAATGGCAGTCCAATCTCTTCTTGAAAGTCTCAAGTGATGAAGCTCCCATAAAGTCTGAGGGCAAGCTGTTCCACTGATTGATTGTTCTCACTATCATAAAATTTCTCCTTATTTCTAGGTTGAATCTCTCCTTGTTCAGTTTCCATTCACTATTCCTTGTCTGGCCTACAGGTGCTTCAGAAAATAGCTTCGCCCCTTCCTTTCTGTGGCAGCCCCTCAGATATTGGAACACTGCTATCATGTCTCCCCTGGTCCTTCTCTTCATTAGACTAGCTAGATAGGCTTGTAACTTGGGACTCTTTGCTTAAACCATGAGAGATTGAGAGGAGACATGATCAAAATTTATAAAATCATGTTTGATTGATTATGGGCCATCAAGGTTTTTTTTCAACTTGAAGGAACAAGTAGAGAAGGAAAAGGAGGCAGGAGTACTAGGCATGTACCGATATGCTGCCTTAATCTGATCAAAAATAAAGGCAGGTAAAAACTGAAGAAATAACCAAGAGGCATCTGGTCAGCTACTATGAAAAACACAATTCTGAGCTAAGATGAGTCTTGGCCTGTTCTTTTTTTTTTTTTAAGAATTTTATTAATTTTCAATAAACAAACATACACAAACAAAACACAAAACATAAAACTTCTTTTTGGAAAGCGGCCTAGTCCCGGGTTACATCTTTTGGTACAGACATAAATCAAATTCATGCTCACTTTATATACCATTTCATATCTTATTTACTGTTCTATATTTTTTGTATGGCTTCTCCCCTCTTTTCACTCTCTTAATTCTATTTTATTTATTTCATCTCAGTTTAAATCATTATGCTGATATCTTTTGTCCGTTCTGTAATCATCTATTTTTCTTTTCTTATTAACACAATATTTCTCCTGTAATCACTAATTGAAGTATGACGCTTTTATATTTTTCCCCTAAATTTAACACTTAAAATAATATATAATTCTCATTCTGATTCTGCTTAGCACATTCTAAAACTACGTACTACATTTTAAGATAAAATAATAATAAATTTATAATATAGTTAAAACAATAATCCATAGTATATTAAGCTTTAT